CGCCCGAAAAAAACCCCCCCCCCCCCCCCAAGCCACAGTTATAACTACAGGAAGGTCTGTTAAGAAGCTTGTTGTTGAAGCTTGTTAAGTTTTGTTCCTACGCATTTACACAAACTATATATAAAGCAGTATTTCATATGCAGGCTCTGCTCAACAATGCAGGCAAGGGATTGTGCTTTGCAATTCTCTCAGTGCACACTTATTAACATTTTATCTGAAAAAATAATTCCTGAACTGAAGGTGACCAATACTTGTCCTGCCGACCATGTCTCAGATCCTTGCTATGTTAACCAAAATGTCTTCAGCATTAAAAACACACTTCTCGGTGTGTCAGATGCCTAATCCCCCCTCTGAAGGCTGTGGTCCCTCCTGAATGTCAGGTAGCAGAAGGGTTTGTGTGTCTTTGGGATAGTCACTTTAAATCGATCTTACTAAAGCAGCCATTTTAGATGGATTGCTGACTGTACTACCTGAACGCCAAAGATTTGTAGATTTTCCTAATATTAAGGAGATGAAAACAAGTAATGAACACCAAATATGCAAAACCGAGGTCACATAAAATGACAATACAATTGTTTCTGCTGAAACAAAAAAAAGGAATATAGCCAAATGTGTGAAACAAGAACAAAAGGTTTATTTGGTTTGACATGGCATGATGTTTAGTAAAAACATTGTGAAGGCCCCAGCCAATGCTGTCTCATCTGTCTGCCCCTCTTCTGTGTTTGTCTCAGCCTTTTCTAGCCCTTTACGGGTTTTAACAGAGAAAGGCATCATAAATAGATGAGGGGTTCTCAGGAATTTCAGCATCCAGTCTTTCACATCTCACAAACCCAGCTGCTCAGGCCTGGGCTGAGGAGTGAAGGTGAAAAAAATAAAATTTGTCTTTGGGCTTGAAAATATTTCCATCATGAGAAAAAAAAAAAAATTAACACAAAAATCAAGTTTCAGATCCAGGTTTGTGTCCCATTCCCATCATTATTTACCAATGACCAAGAAATGATAGGTCCAGCTACATTTTCATACCAGAGGCACCATACTTTAGCACTGTCCATCAGCGCTCTGTGTATTGCTGCTCTCGCTACTCCCGGCCCCTCTTGGGGTGACCTCAATGATTCGTGGTTTCTCAATAATTCGGGCCGACTTGTTTCCTTTTTCCACTATGCCGATGATCCATGCCTGGTGTCCCTCTCCATACTTTGGGGATTTGATCTCCGCACAGAAGCGAGCAGCCTGCTCTCGGGGAAGGCAAATGAGCAAACCACCTACATACAGGAAAAAATTAAAGTTCAATACACCATTGCAATACAAGTTGTCACCCCTGCCAGACAACTTTGTGTACACTGTAAACTAGCTGAGGGCAAGCTGTAATTAACAACCAGTCACATTAGGCCTAGTATAGTGCTGCACAGACAAGTAAAGCTGATCCCCAGAAAAAGCTCTCCTTTCCTTGGTAAAGCCTTATGTTTAGGCTGTCCATCACATTTGTCGGTTCTCCCAAAAAAAATAAAACATCCTTAGAACCTGTTAGTGATACTTCTATGTCCACACGGTTGCCTTCCTTTTTACCATCACCTCTGCAAGGCGAGTTTCTGAGCCGGCGGCCCCCTCTTGTAAAGAACCCTTGCCCAGTTTTACAAAGACAAGGTTTTCTTGAGGCCCAAGGTGTTTATTTTATTTAACACTTTAAATTGTGAACATTGTACTTCCATTTCTCTGTCCTACCCCAGTACATCCTAAGGGGTTTTCTCCCCACTCTTTGGATGTGGTATGGGCTTCGAGTTTTCCTTCAGACAGCCCGACTTTTGCTTTACCATTAAGGGACAGTGTGCCTCTTGTTACACAATTTCTAGGTAGATTAGGCAGCTCATCATTCAAAGCGATCGACTTGAGGATAAAGTTACACTTTTTCCGGTCAAGGTGCATTCTACTAGATCTGTAAATACGCGCTTTGGGCTTTTCACCATCAAACATTGTTTTCCCAGATTTGCAAAGCTGCCACCTGTCTTTTCTGTTTACACATTTGCTAGGTTTTACCAGAAGAGTATCCTGAACCTGTGTGCCTTACTGGATATTTAATGCCTGAAATGCATAATATATAGAAAAAATATGCATTTCTTTAATATTTGCATTTAAGCCTGGAAAGCATTGCAATTGTGATCACCCGATTACAGCTGACGCCCATATTCCCGTATCTACCTAGAGCTAGTGCCACAGCAGAGCCCAGTGCCCGCAGCTCACATCACAGGCCAGCCATGCTTCCTTCTCTCAAGAGGGTCTGGGTATGGCCTCGGTGACTAGACTGAGCATTAGGTAAGCCAGAAAGCTGAAGAAAAAAAAAAAAAGTCTTGACAAATGCAGGAAATAAAAGAGAATATGATTCTCCTAGGGCAGCTGCAAGAAACAAACCATGGAGCATGATGGGAGTGGTAGGGCTTATACAGTACTCGGCTTCCTTACAGCTTTGTTTGCCAATGTCCAATATTTTGAAGGCTGCAGCATAACTGTGTCTCAGACTTACCCCACCCCGTTTCCCTTAGCCAGCAATGCCAGACCTTAGAACTTCTGCAGGCACGCCCTTCGGACATGAGCAGCTTTGTAAAGGTGAAGTGAATAGTTTAGCAAACCCTTTCTAGCGTCGGGAGATATCCTGCAATGTCATCACAGGGGCTCCAATACAGATTACAGTAGCAGCATCTGGTTAAAAGTGTTGGCAGGTGCACATATAGGGGTGCCCTGGCAAAGAAAACTCCCATTCTCTATGCATGCAATATGTAAGCCTGCTCTTAGGACTTGCTGGAACTATCGTGGGTGGCCCGTTGTAGATATAAGTGGGGATAGTCTGTTATACCCGCCAGCACCCCACACTTATATCCGCCTACTGCAGACAGCACCGCTGTGGTGACATCAGAGCTGCTTTCAGTGGACTACGAAGGGGCAATGAGATCATTGGTCATCCTGCTCATCGGAATTGTGCTGCAGTGTCTGGTCCCTTTCACAAGATTCACCTATTCTGTCTTATAGGATAAAGGACCATCAAGAGGGGAAAAAAATTGTAATGCAACACTCGCAAATCTCTTGTGTCTGGAGTTCACATTTAAATCTCTTTGCTACAGAGTTTTAACATTTGGCAAATCACCTCATTTTTAACCCACTGACATCAAAGCGCTGCCAATGAGGTCACAGTCAAGTGACATACGCAGGCGTAGAGCACAACCATTCCATGGCAATGTAAAGTGGGAACTAATGCCCCTTCTCAGAATGCAATTCTAGTAGTTGGCTAACTCAATGAAGACAATTCTTTTCCTCTGGCTGATAAGTTATTGACCCATTTCTCTCCTGTGGTTCATCTCTCAGACTCCAATGGTAAGGTTTCCCCACCGTAGTTGGGGCCTCTACTCACTTCCTACAAGGCCATAATGAAGGCGTCATTCTCACAATGCTTAACATCATAAAAACAATAGGCACTGCAAGCTCCAATCATTTGACTTTAAAAAATTAAAAAATGTGACTCACCAGATGTCTCTGCTGATGTTCCTTGAAGTAAACTAAATCGGCTTCCACAGGCTTTTGTGATGGCAGCCATTTTGGCTATAATGGGCAAATTGTGGATAACAAAGCTGACCTCACTTTGTTGCTGTTGTGCCAGGTTCTGTGCATGGCCCAAGATCCCAAATCCAGTGATATCGGTGGCCGCATGGGCATTAAAGGTGTGCATCAAAGCTGCCGCTGAAGGACAAGATGAACAATGAAATATAACAGCAGTTTCATTCTTCATGTACAATACCGATCATTTGCTATGGTTGGCAGTGATCTTGGGCTTCTTTGTAATAATCTATAGCAATCTATACAGTCCTGAATAAATCAAGAGGTTCCCCCCAAAAATGGTACACCATTAATCTATTCAGGCATTGCAGATCTTTATATCTAGGTAAACTGAGGCTGTGGGGAGGGGGTTTCACAGACAGAATGCTCTGCTTTGGTCCTCATATGAACCAGACCCAGCTCCCTGCCACTGAGCAAGGGCAAATTACGGGGACAGGGTTACATACCCGTGCGGTTCAGGGTAGCCATATTAAACATGGCTTCCTGGTATGCCAGCTCAACCTCTTCTCTGGTCACCACTAGACGGATCTTATTCCAGCGCTCAGGCTAAAAAACAGAAAATAGGGATGTTACTCGAGATCATTCCAGAATAGGTCTTTGTTACTATATCTTTCTATTACAACTTACATTGTCCAACCACTGATGTGCATTCACAGCCACTTGTGTTCCTAGAGGTTTCGTCAGAACGAGGACATCCCCAGGAACTGCGTTGTGTGGCCTGGGGAACAACAAGTTACATTGGCTAAGCTAAGGCCATCAAAGCTACTACTCTATAGTTTACTAGCATCTGGGTAAAAAAAAAGGACGATGCCAAGTACTGTACCAAGGCTAAACACGTAACATAACGCCATTGTAATGTGGCAGAGAACAACCAGTTTTCTTGTGTAAAAATATATTTTATTAGGTCCTCATGCTTCGAACAGTTCCATATGTGTGGAAGAATGAGGCCAATCCTTGTCAGCATTTCATAGTTCTGGAGGAGACACTGACTACCCGTAAGCCTCTGTCATTGCACACATAAGTGATTGGTACGGAATGAAGGTGAGGCTATCCACTGAGTCACTAGTTATGGGTCATACACTTTCTGGGGTAGCACGGATGCCATCCATTAAGTCACTTGTTATGGGTCATAGACTTTCTAGGGTAGTGAAGGTGAGGCTATCTGGCCTGGAACCAGTATGGGGTACTCGGTCTTTTACCTTGCAATGGGTCACCAACAAATAACAGCTCTCTGCTCAGCCATATGCCAGGTTAGAAATCATGAGCAGCATTATGAGGTTTTGTGCACAGATACAATTTTCTGACTAAACAGGACCACATTGGCTCCTACCAATGTTCCCCGGAATCATCCTTCTCATGGGACTGAGACGGTCTGATGGCATGGTGTATGCCGTTTCCACAGCTGATTCTCATTGTTCATTATATGCCATTAATAGAAAACATGCACTTTTCTTTTTTTTTATTTTAATAACAGTGTCAACACAGAGCAGTTCAATCACTTAAATATTTTGGACTGGCAACAAAAATTCTGGGGGCTGCATAGAAGTTATGGCTAAGATGACTATCTTGGTTTTCCCCCCTTTACTTCATACAGAATGGGGCAAAATAAGAGAGAGACTTCACAGGAATTGCTGGTACTCCAAAGTGAAGGCCGTGACAGGGAAGTCAAACATAGTAACATGCCAGAGAATTGTTTAACCCTTGCTGAAAATATCAATTATGGATGAACTAATCTTTAAATGTAGAACAAAACAACACTATTCATAAGTTGGGGTTGCAGATATTGTTAAAGTAAAATAGAGCTTACATGATGAATTCATTCGATTGACAAACCACTGTAGCCACTCCACCAATGATAATCCAAGGATTGACCACAGTCTGGCCACCAGTTACAGATGTACCTCCCTCTTCAGCCGCATCTTTAAAGCCTTTAATCATGAGAGGTGTGACTTTCTCCCTCTCCTAGGAAACAGACAATACAGAGTATTTACATCTACAGTTCAGTGAATGAGTGGTGAAAAGGATATTATGACATTATACGGCATATATTATAATATCCTAAAGCCTTCACTTCACTATTATAACCAGCTACAGCAACACAGAGATTTAGTCAAAGTTGATGACAGCCGCCGATAGACAGGCCCTATCTCAGAAACAAGTTGCTGGAAGACGGCTCGGGTAACCCTGCACTCCCACCCACACATGGTGCTCTATAATGTATTGCTGGGATTTCTATTCCTCTATAGCTGATGGTACATTCTGTTGTACTGTATATTATACAGAGCAATGTACCATCAGCTATAGAGGAATACAAATCCCAGCAATACATTGTACACTGTATGTATAATGTATTGCTGGGATTTGTTGTACTCCTATATAGCTGGTGGTATTCTGCATTGCGCTGTATAGAGGACTACAAATCAAGGAATAGTACATTATACAGCGCAATGCGGAATACCACCAGCTATAGAGGAATACAACAGAGTCCTCTTTAGCCGGTGCCATTCTGCATTCATTGCTGTATACTTTTTTTTCACTTTTCATTTCACTATATTGCACACCACTTTTTTTTTTCTTTTTTACTTCCACTGCTCCAAGTTTGCTCCTGTGATGGACTGCAATCTCAATACAAACTAGAAGTCCCATCACTGGAGCCATTTTTCAAAATGTATTTTATTTTTTATCCAATTAACTGACTAATCGAACTTAATAATCGGCTAACTAATCGATTTTGAAAATAATCGTTAGCTGCAGCTCTACATGGAGCACACCCCGACTTCTCAAAAATAACAAAAATTGCCAAGTTCACTCTTCAGTGGCTGCAGCAGACGTTCTGTAGTGGCCATCACAACCTTCTGACCTCTACACTATGGAGCTACTTTGGAGGAGATCTCAGGCATGCGCTTAATGCGAATTCCAAGATTCTTTCCTTGTTGCATAATTTTGCCCTTCACACTTTTTGTCATCTGTACACAATAAACCCATTATTTAAGGAAAGTTGTTTTATTCAAAACATGTTTTGTTTCAACCAATTTTATTTTCTCATTTCTCTTCCCTCCCCAATCCCTACCCATACACAATTCAGAAAACAACTTAACACAGCTTTGGCTGCCAGTGTGACATAAATATCAGATTGTAACTAACACATTGTAAATCGTCAAGACAAACAGAATTCCACTGCTGGGTCCTCCCAAGCACCGCCAGCTCAGCCTCACGTGACAGCCGTCTCCACCCCCACACTGCTCTCCTGAGCAAGGGGGTGCGGGGGAGGAGAGCCCGGCCTCTTGAGATACGCCGGTCGCTCACAACGCTCTCCTCCCCCGCACCGCTCGGCCTCCTGTGACAGTTTCTCTCCTCCCTGCTAGACGCTGCACTGTGTCAGAGGGAACATAGAGCAGCACCCAGTGGGGAGGAGAGAAACTAGGCATGCTCAGCAATTCCGTCCGAAAGATGGCACTTTCTGCATTTTGCCCGAAGTGCCCTTTTCGGCCGATATGTTGGGGCGGCCGAAATTTTGGTGCATCCCTAGTAAGAGGAAATGCAAAAACCAATTTAACCATAGAAACCTAATCTTAACTAGTACTAAACCACCAGTATGAATCGGAATTAAACACTGGTGGGGGATTTATCAAAATCGGAGCAGACAGAATCTGGAGCAGTTGCCCATGGCAACCAATCAGCATCTCTCTTTAGTTTGCTCAGGTAAGGTTGTAAGGTTTGACTATGAGACAGAGATGCTGATTGGCTGCAGTGCAAATCTGCTCCAGATTTGGTCTTCTCCAGTTTTGATAAATTCCACCCTGTATGTGCACACATGGGGAAAATACATTTCAGGTTTTTTTTCATAGTGTGAAAGGTGGAGGTAAGAACGCTACATTAAAACAAGTCTGTAGTCCTGGCTTGGTTCTTACACTCAGACATAGGCTGATAAGCTTCTAAAATCACATTAAAAAAAAATCAATAAAAGGCGACACTTACCTCCTCTGTCATCTTTTGACTGACACTGAGTAACATCAACATGTTGTCACACTCCGTGATTCCCATAGCATACAGGTCACTCAGCACATTTGCGCAGGCAATGCGTCCCTGAGAATGGGGGAAATAGAATTTGATTCATTAGAATAATTTAATGGTTTTAAAAATACTAAAACCAAAGTGAAACTGCAAGCAAAATTTACTTTACTTTTTAGGGGCTTCGGGGGAAATATTGGGGATCTAAACAGACCGACTAAACAGACTGCAGCCCCTGTTATCAATGAACAGAAATCCGTTCATAACATGAGAACATTGTGTGTTTACTATAACCACAATCACGAATGAACAGGTGATGTAGATCACTTCCCATTCATTATGGAGGATATAGTAACCATACTCTGTCCTCAATTATGTGCACTCAGCAATCACTGAGTGTTTGTACTTGCTCTCCTTCCTGGCACGCTGTCACAGGAGGCTGAGCGAGCGGAGCTCAGCCTACTGTGACAGCTGTCTCCGCCGGCACACCGCTCTGTCACATGAGGCTGAGTGGTGTGGGAGAAGAAACGCCGGACGCTCACAGCGCTCTCCTCCTGTGACAGTTTCTCTCCTCCCCGCTGGGACACAGAGCAGCACCCAGCGGAGAGGAGAGAAAGAATGGATGCACCGCTGTATCGGCCAGAAAAATGGCACTTGTCAGCATGATGCCAAAAGTGTAATTTTCGACTGATATGTTTCGGCGGCCGATATATCGGTGCATCCCTAGTTATTATGAACACAGTGAGTGATCAGTACTGATCACTCACTGTGTTCATTCTATGATCCGATCCGCCACACCTGTCAGATCCTTCCCTCTGCACCACCAGCCATCTGTTACACATCCTCTGTGTGGTTGCAATCTGCTGACTCAGGGTCTCCTCTGATCCCGGTGTTTCCACCAGTACAGGTGGGGGAAAATTACATGGGGACACAGATTGAGCTACAGAGGATATGCAAAAGTAGTCCAGTGGAAGTGCAGAAGCAAGAAGGAATTGACAGATGGGATAGGTGTAGGGCTGCAACAACTAATCGACATAATCGATTATAATCGATTATTGAAAAAGTTGTCAACTTTTTCAATAATCGATTAATCGGCTTCCGATCAGTTGGCCCTGTTCACGGGTCCACAAACGCGTGCCGCACTAGTAGTCCATCACTGGAGCCATTTTTTAAAATGTATGTTATTGTTTATCCGATTAACCGATTAATCGGCTAACTAATCGATTTTGAAAATAATCGTTAGCTGCAGCTCTAGATAGGTGGGACGGGCTGGGTTGGAGATAGGACACCACTTCTGTAGGGTCACATTTTTAATCAATGGCAGCAATCACTGACCACGGCTATTAATGATTTCAGCAGTCGGGGGATTGTATTCTGCTATAGGTTTATGGTTGCTGAAGCAGTCATGAGTTGGAGCAGAAGGGAATGCCAAGGATGTAAGGTTTATTGAGCTGGCCAGCTGGAAACATTTCAGTTCTGATGTAAACCTTATGACCTTGGAATGGAAAGGGTTAATCATTTACACAGACCAACTATTTCTCTGGAACACCATTGGCTTAGTGCTGTACGATTACTAAGAAAGCCCAAGGGAAAGGGAGGAGACACATCTAGCAAACATTGCACTGCCAGTGAGGTTTCCATGCCCAGCTCCAAGGGCAGAGCAGACGCATAAACATGCTTGATTTGTCTGGATAAATAGAAGCATACAATCCAGAGAAACCCTATGCCCAGGCAGTAAGCTGAACTGTGTAGTGTGCACATACCCTATGCATGGCTTGTAGTTAGTCTTCCTACACAGGACTCCTATGCATGGCTTGTAGTTAGTCTTCCTACACAGGACTCCTATGCATGGCTTGTAGTTAGTCTTCCTACACAGGACTCAGTACCTAAGCAGACCTAATGTTATCCCTTCTATGTCAGAAACTCAGAAATGGAATAGCAACAATGCAAAGATTTAAAAAAAAAAACACTACCAAGTAGGATATTTATCTATAAATTGGGCAAACATGTGACTTGGTAAAGAAAATTAATGCTGCAGAAAAAGCATTAGAAGCACATTCCTTACCGCTCACAGGAAGACACAAGAACTAACTATCACTGTGACTCAGCAGTTCATCATGCACTGAAGATATGGATGAAGAACTCTGGTCACAAGGGAGTCATTAAGAAGATTAAGCAACACAACAGTATTTCTTTCCAGTGCTACTAAACCTGGTCACAGTCACCTGCATGTAGGGGTCTTCAACCGATGGATAAAAGAAGTCAGTGGTCTGAACCAGGGACAGTCCCCTATGTCTAAGAGGTATTACACACGAGTCCATCCCAATACCTGTAGAAAGAGCAGAAATGGCAATGGGGCAAGTTAACACTTTCATAAGAAAGGACAGAAATTATGGGAGCTGTCATTACACCAACATTTTATATTTAGTAGATCTGAAAGAGTTAAAATGTATTTAGAGGCAAAATTATTTTAGGATTGGGATAGAGGAGGGAACAGATACGGATCCTTTGTTGGGTTTCACTTCTATCTGGGACACTGTTGCAGATTTTCCCTCACTTCTCACTGATTAAACCACTGTGATGGTAAGGGGGAATCTCTCTAAAGAAGCCTATAAGAGCAGTAAAAACAAGAGATTTACATCCTCCCCCTCTATCCAAAACGGAAAAAAAAAAAAGTTTGGCTGGACTTGCACTTTAAACATTGACAGTTTCCTACAACTTTGCAGGGTTCCATTGGTTTCAATGTCTGCACTGAGTTCCTGGGCCATCACGGCTTCTGTGATTATTATGAGGCGTTTTCAGTATGTGTTTTTATTATATAATATAGAGACATGACCAATGCCTTGGCATCCTTATATTCTACTGCTGTGTATTAATATACGTGTGAGTGGGTTGTATTATTTTTCTGTGAATAGGGGTGTGGAAATTTTGGAAAAAACTACTTGTCCAAGGACTAAAGCGGGGGCCGAATCTACTTGTCCCTCATGACAATCTACTTGTCCCGATACAAAAAAAAATTATTTTAACCAAAACCGTGTTTAGCAGTGCTAAGAAGAGCTTCTCATTGGTCAGTGCCGTCAGGTGACTGCGTTGACCAACGAGTGCTTGCAATTTGCGAGCGAAATTCAGAATACATGAAACAGGTACAGATCGTACGGGTGGAGGGGGAAGGACCGGTCGCCGAAAGGTAAGTATAATGGGAGGGAGATTTGTGCGGGTAATTCCATTTTCCCAAATTACTTGGGAAAGTGAATATACCCTTTAGGGTGGGTGCAGACCTGCGGATTCCCGGGACGTGCGATCGTGTGCGGTAAGATCGCAGTTGAAAACACTGCGCGTTTATTTCGCATGGAGATGGGGCAGCGGGACTGGTTTTCATTTTTTCAATTTTTATTTACTTTGTAAAAAAATTTCATTTGTTTTATTATTTGTACTTTATCTCCTTGTTTATTTTTTTACATTTTTAACTTATTACTTTTTTTTTTTTAAACTTAACTGTAGTGCTATCACACAGCGATAATGTCCGTAGCAGGGCTAAAACAATGAAAAAAACACTTGCCCGGCCCCCGGAACTACATGTCCCGGGCATCGGGCGATACGAATTCCACACCCCTGGTGAAGAATATATATATCCCAATTCACACCTATACATCCGGTGCGATTAGGGATTCCTGTGTCACAAACTTGCGTTTTCCTGCACAGCAGTCCCTAATCTGGCATTTATATGCAGCAACTGTCACCCATTATGATTACATGCTGTTACAAAAAGAGTGCTTCCTAACTGCATGTAATCCTTTCACATACAATTACATGCAGTGGCTGTCACCTGATCATTAACCTGAATGGGCGGCGGTTGCCGATTGTAACATGCGCAGACATTAACATTGGTACCGTATATAGTAGCGGCCCCCACGGGACTACAACATTTGTCCACTGGTCCCTGAGTAAATTGAGCTTGAGACCCCTGCTTTAGGTTCACAGGAGGACATATACTAACCTCCTCCCATGACCCAAAGCTCAGAATCTATATGGTCATTGCCCGCTATATACTGAGAGCTCTGCACACGGGAATGATCCCGACAATTCTGCCGAGATCCACCCAGCGGGCGCTGTCTATCTAGAGGCACCGCTCTCTGCAGGGAGATGATCAGAAAGTGAGCGAGCGACGGTATGTGTTCACTCACTGCCCAATCAATAGAGTCGACGTGACAGTTTCATTGGCTCTAACTATGAGGATGAGTGGTATATCACTCACCTCATAGTTCTCCTTTAACTATTAACAAAAATGAATCTTATTTGTGCATCACTCCGCTGTAGATCCTCAAATCATCTCGGAATTGGAGCTGGCACTGTCCTTTCTTCTGGAGGGGGGTTACTTTTGTTCCCCATGGTCCCCGTGTGTGTAGTAAAGTAGCCACAACTCCAAGCTCAGACCTGTGATGAACTACAATCTCAAGTTTAGTTTACCAATTTGTATTGAGATTGTAGTCCATCACAAGCGCGAGCTTGGAGCCCAGTCCCGGCAATGATGGAAGCAGAAATCACTAAGGCTGGGTTCACACCTAGGCGTATTGAATATGCCCGTTTGTCGTGCGTTTTTTTACTGCGATTCGCGGTAAAAAAAAACGTGCGACAAACGCGCGTTTCCGAAGGGCTACTTGGCTGTATCCCAATGGAAACGCCCAACAAAAATGGCCCAAAGAAGTACATGTACTTGTTTGGGCGTAGGCCATTTTGTAGGGCGTTTCAGACGGGCGGAAATACGGAAAGGTGTGAACCATACCCATAGAAAACAATGGGATTTTCAAGTTTGTACATTTTGTAGAGCGTTCATAGAGCCTTGAACGTGCAACAAAACGTAAAGGTGTAACTGCAGCCTACATGCTTAGAGAAGAACAGCCTTCCTTGTGATGAGTTGCAGTGTTTTTCTAGGAAGCCTCATCACCTCTTTATTATAAACTACATGCAGCAACTTAGTTACACAAGAGGCAAAAAAAAAAAGGAAGCCGACACTTCAACACACCCTCCTTGTAAGATGTTAGAATACTGCCTCTGTATTGCAACACATGTAAGAAATTGTAACCACTTTAGTGTTCTGTTGTGATGCATTATCGTGTGTGTTTCAGCATCAGCAAAGCAGCACACTACAACGCATGGTATGTGTACTGCAGTGCATTGCTGTATACCGTTCAAGGTGTTGGGTTGTCATTTACGATAAAATGGTATCACATAGAACTGGTGCGTTTCCGTGTGTATCACAACACAGAAGTGTGAATGGACCATTACAAATTTGTGATTTTGCTTGATGCATTTTTCATGGAAAAATGTGTCCTCTTTGTGAGGACATCTCATCTTCACCTCGTGTATGTTGCTCAGCACATTGTGTTTGCAGACATTAGGGCTGCAGCTAATGATTTCCATAAATCGGTTAGCCAATTATTAACCAATTAATCCAATAAAAGTTTTTAAAAATTAAAATACACAATTGCAGCATTACAGACAAAGTTTACCTCAGAATAAAATGGTATGCACATTTTTTGAAAATCAAATTGCACTGGAATGCACAGCATTGCAATACCACGCATTCCAGTGCGGGCGATCACGCGGCGGATGGAAGGTGCATTTGGGATCCATTGAAATGAATGGCACTGCAACGCACCTCCTGCAGCAACATTTGTCAGGCCGAAACAGAAGATGACTTTTCCCACTTAAATAATTGTATGCATTAGACATTTTAATTAGTTTAATGGATTTAAAATAATGTGAATTGTAAAACTCTAAGCCAATATAATAAAATAACCATTTAAAATAACACCAACAAATGTTTTCTATTTTTAATTTTAGTTTATTTAACTTTATTTTTTACTTTTTTTTTCATCTTTTAGTCTTTAGCCAATTGCAGGCTGGCTATTGCAATCGCCCACTGCCAAACAGCAAGAAAGTTCTCCATCAGGTCCTCCTCTGCTGACTGACAGCACGCAGTGGGCAGGTGCAATAGCCAGCCTGCTATTGCATTTTAAAATAACCAATAACAGGCTGGGTATGGCTTTCAGCCCCTAGTTGAAGCGGAGACACGGGGGGCTGGGGCAGAGGAGGATTGCAGAGTCACAGCAGTCTCTCCTCCCTGCTGCTTCTGACTGCAGTGGTCTGAGTCCCCGCTGCCTCTAGCGGGGAGAGAAGTGGGGATTGAAAAAGGACACAGACCGCTGCAGCCAGCACCAGCAGGAAAGAGAACTGAGGAGCACACCGGCAGCTGTAATTAATTGAAAAGCAACTAATGGATGATAATTGTTGCCAACGATTCTCATCATCACTCAATTTAAATCGATTAGTTGTTGCAGCCCTAGCAGACATGCAACATTAAAATATCCCACATGGATACATTAAAATGGACAAACATCAGTGCTGTGACAGAAGCAAAGATATCAATTCTGACATGTGCTTTAGGAGAAAGCATTCCACTAAATTAAAGAGACCCTGTCAGCTCCCTAAGCATATCCAGGCAAGAAAAAACGGGTGACTAGAAAGGAGAGTATACTATAGGCACAAAGCTAAACCACCAGGAAACACATCCCCCTCCTTGTTGCATGGCTGATCGTCACTGTCGCCCCACCTCACTAAAGTATTTACAGCACTCGGCAAAAGGTGGACATTTTCAGACGATTTTGCATTAAAACATTGGTACAGGTGCTTCATTAGATTGGCTCACAAGCTTAAAGTGACATTATACCCTCAGATTTTTTAACATAAACGAATACTGCAATGTGTGCCTTACTGTAATCCATGGTAGTTTCCCTTTTCTTCCTTTTAAATCTATATCTGTTCTCATGCTCTGCAGAACTTCTGTTTTGCAGCAGACTGCCTTGTCTCAGGAATGGATACACGATGTCTGTGTATACGTTTGTATAGGCTTGTAACCTGAGCCAGCACTACAGGAAGAGGCCCTGAGCTGAAAAGGGAAGTTCTCCCCAAGCATGAGAAGGCATGAGGATTTAAAAGGAAGAGCAGCAAAGAGAAGGGAAACTACCATGGATTACAGTAAGGCACACATTACAGTATTGGTTTATGTTAAAAAATCTGAGGGTTTAATGTCACTTTAAATATTTAGGGCTCATTCAGGCCGTGCTGCGCGCAGGCCCGTAAAAAGACCCGGTCCCGGAAGAGGCAAGTGCTGCACGCAGGCCCATAAGAAGACCCGATCCCAGAAGAGGCAAGTGCTGCGCGCAGGCCCGTAAAAAGACCCGGTCCCGGAAGAGGCAAGTGCTGCACGCAGGCCCGTAAAAAGACCCGATCCCGGAAGAGACAAGTGCTGCGCGCAGGCCCATAAAAAGACCCCATACCGGAAGGGACAAGTGCTGCACGCACCCCCATAAAAAGACCCGATCCCAGAAGAGACAAGTGCTGCGCGCACACCCACAAAAAGACCCGATCCCGGAAGGGACAAGTGCTGTGCGCTGGCCCATAAAAAGCCCCGGTCCCAGAAGGGACAAGTGCTGCGCGCTGACCCATAAGAAGCCCCGATCCCAGAAGGGACAAGTGCTGCGTGCACGCCCACAAAAAGACCCGATCCCGTAAGGGACAAGTGCTGCGTGTAATTGCATTATTCGTCACTGCTTTTGCAATTGTGTGCAGCTGCGTCCTCCCCTAGGGAAGAACAGGCTGCTGCACACAATTACACAGCACCCGTCCTTTCCAGGGTCGGGTCATTTTACAGATGTGCACACTGTACAGACATGTACACACGTCTGAATGAGCCCTTATAGAAACCGTCACGTAGCACTTTTAAAGAGGAACTTAAAACATTAACCCTTGCAGTGGGACTACCTGCACACTGAAAGGGTTAACTGCTCGCCTTGTCTAGGGAGTGAAAATAAAGCAGGTGTACTCATCCGATCCTCGGAGGCTTGGATCCTCCCCTTCTCCCCCAAGCCCCTGCAGTCTAAGGATCCGTGATATCAGAACATCCAATACAGTACATTCGATGTGAGGAAGCCACGAGAAATAACCCCCTGCCCTTGCGGAGAGGGGGGGAGAGAGAGGAGAGCGGTCACTGCTACAGAATCAAAGATCAGGCGAGTTCAGTCAGGCTCCACTGGTGTAACACAACACATAACTTGTCTTATATCAGGGGTAGGCTACCTCTGCACTCCAGCTGCAGACTAACTACAAGTCCCATGAGGCTTTGCAAGACTCGACAGCCACCGGTATGACAGAGGCATTATGGGATTTGGAGTTTGACCACAGCTGGAGTGCGCCCATGTCCTATAACATTGGACATTTGTGGCAGGGGGAAATGTGTCAATATTTACAGAACAAAACTGAGCTATTTCCCTTTTTTAATCGGCCACAACCTATTTTCTGTAACTCCTCACCATCTTGTTTACACTTATATGCATAGATCAGTGTACAGTCCTGGCATTTGCCGGGTTGAATAATCTGCCATGTGCTTGAGTGGTAGTGATGACAACCTGCAACAGCCAATCAGGACTGCTGAAGATCCCAGTTTGGAGAACTAATAGGGTCTCTCTAAAATGCAAAAGCTTGTGGCCCCCAGCTTCTCAAGGGCCAAAGGAATGCAGAAGAGAAGTAAATAACGAATATAAGAGTCTTACCCAGCCTGGGATTCCCGACGTCATCCGGATCCGCGGGCTCCCCCTCCTCCAGTCCCGCCAGGAGTCTGAGCAGCGTCTCCTGCGGGACTTTACATCCTCAGCCCTTCATGTCCGAGAAGGAGGTGAGCCGGAAGCCGGCCCCCAGGCCCAGTGACTCCGGGTCAAAAGGCCGGTAACCCGGGAAATAGGGAGCCATGGAGGGTTGCAGCGAACCAGCCGCCATGATAGCTGTTCGTGAATGACACTTCCAGTGTCAAGAGTCCAGCTATCCTGACACGCCGACCACGTGCCGCCAATCCGCACGCGATCCCTCCCCCTCCAGATACCACAGAGCTGAGCAACGCGGGATAGAGTGTCCTATTTTACCATAAAGATGTGCGGAGCCGTGTGGGCTAGAACATTATTTTACCATAAATATTTGAGGAGCCGCGCGGGATAAAACGTCCTTTACCATGAAGATGTGCGGAGCCGTGTGGGATAGAACGCTCGATACCATAGAGAAGAGCTGAGACGCGGGAGTTAGGATGTCCGTTACCATAGAGACGATAAGTGTACCTGGACAATGTGCAGGGTTACGAAGTCTTTGGCTCTTGGTGCCATAGAGACTGCATAGTGTTAGAACCTGACCGCTGTGCTGGGGAATTCAACTTGTGGAACGATGAACAGCCCGCCCAAGGGCTCCTCCTTGGCCTCTCCTGTACATGCAGCTGCTGTGACAGGAGACAAGGCCACTCTGCTGCGTCTGATTGGCTCAAACTCAGATCTCCTAGACCAGGAGGACCAGCTGGGAAGAACTCCTCTGATGTACAGTGTGCTAGGTGATCGTAGAGCATGTGCAGAGGCTTTGCTTCGCTGTGGGGCCCAGGTGAATCGCTTAGATAGAAGTGGGCGTACAGCTCTTCATCTTGCAGCCCAAACTGGCAATCACCGCCTCTTGAAGCTTCTCCTGTCCCGTAGAGCGGATTGTACCCATCGTGATCTGCGTGACATCACAGCGCTGCACCTGTCCACCCGTCACCAGGACACCCGTTGCCTGGCCCTGCTTCTGAAGCACACCCCACCGGGGCAAGTCGATGCTCAGGATCAGAGAAAGCAAACAGCGCTGCACTGGAGCGCCTATTATAACCGGCCGCGGCACGTCAGGCTGTTAGTGAGGCATGGCTCCAACATTGGCATCCCTGACTTGGAAGGAAAAATACCCCTACACTGGGCAGCTGGGCATAAAGACCCAGAAGCTGCGTTAACCGTACGCTGTTTGCTAGAAGCGGCTCCAACGGAATCGTTACTGAACTGGCAGGATTATGAAGGCCGCACTCCTCTGCACTTAGCTGTAGGCGATGGCAACCAAGAAGTGGTACGGCTTCTGACTTCCTATCGAGGGTGCAATGTGACACCTTATGACAATCTGTTCCGTACCCCTCTTCACTGGGCTGCGCTGCTGGGTCACACGCCCATTGCCAATCTTCTTCTGGAAAGAAATCGCTCCCCCAACATCCCTTCGGATAGTCAAGGAGCTACCCCCCTCCATTATGCGGCCCAGGGAAACTGCCCAGACACCGTTCGGGTTCTATTGGCTCACCCCTCTGTGAGAGATGAAGCTGACTTAGAGGGAAGGACTGCATTTATGTGGGCAGCAGGAAAAGGCAGTGATGAAACACTAAAAGTCATGCTTGAGCTAGACTCAGAGCTAGAGATTAACAGAACGGATAAATATGGTGGTACGGCACTCCACGCAGCATCACTTTCTGGCCACATCAGCACTATACGAATATTATTACAAAATGGTGCCCAAGTGGATGCTGCCGATGTAATGAAGCACACTCCGCTCTTCAGAGCTTGTGAGATGGGGCACAGAGAAGTAATCTATACTTTAATTAAAGGAGGGGCAAAAGTTCATCTTGTTGACAAAGATGGCCGATCCCCCCTTCACTGGGCAGCATTAGGAGGCAATGCCAATGTATGTCAAATACTTATAGAAAATAACATCAACCCCAATGCTCAGGACTATGAAGGCAGGACTCCTTTGCAGTGTGCAGCCTATGGAGGCTATATTGGGTGCATGGAGGTATTAATGGAGAACAAAGCTGATCCAAATATCCAGGATAAAAATGGCCGCACAGCTTTGCATTGGTCATGCAACAATGGGTACCTGGATGCAGTAAAACTTCTACTACACTATAATGCCTTTCCTAACCAAATGGAAAGCACAGAAGAGAGGTATACACCTTTGGATTATGCTTTGCTTGGCGGGCATCAGGAGGTTATCCAGTTTATGCTTGAACATGGTGCCCTCTCTATTGCTGCAATACAGGACATTGCGGCCTCCAAGATACAAGCAGTGTACAAGGGCCATAAAGTACGGAGGGCTTTCAGAGATCGGAAGAACTTGTTGATGAAACATGAGCAGCTGAGGAAAGATGCAGCTGCCAAAAAGCGAGAGGGTGTAAGCAAAAGGAAAACCAAATGTAATCAACCTAGAGAAGATGGGCAGAATGAGGACAAACAGACAAACACTTCTGAGAGATTTATGGACAAGGAAGAGCAGCACAGTCACAGTGATATACAACAGAAAAGTACTACAGAGGAAAAACGACAAGAAAGTGCTGGTAAGACAAAGATTAAAGAGCACCGTCACCAAAGCAGGACTGGCCATGCATCTCCAAGGCCGAGAGAAGTCTGTGAGGCAAGTAACCAGAGCACTCCTAGTAGGATATCTCATGTAACGTCATCCCCAAGTGAATTGTTTGAAAAGGAGTATCGTGAAGAAGGTCAAAATTTAAAAAAAGAGCAGTGTAAAAGAAGCTCTAGACATAGAAAGGAAAATTGTAGTACTCTAATCCATGAAGAAAGGTGCCAAAGCCAGAACGATTATCATAGAGTATCTCACAAAGAGATTAAAGAAGGCTCCCAGTTCTCTTTAAAAGCTGAAAGTAGCACAAGCCAATGTGCCAAGGAAAGGGACACTGCAGGAAAGGTCATCAGCAAAGAGCAGATTATAGAAAAGCCGATCAAAGGACCTAGAGCACCCAGGAATAAGAAAACTGATATGGACATGGTTACCCAAATAATGGCTTCTTCTAGTATTACAGAGTCTAGATCACATAGGAGGAACAAAGAATCCAATGGCATAGTAATCCAGGTGACGAGTAATGGAGACAATTCTGCAAAGCACAAAGAAATCTCAGGTAGACTGCATTCGGAAAGGAAAAGTAGCTCGGCCAGAGCTGGACAGCCAAATGCCACTGGAATACAGGCTACATGTGAGGAAGAACGACCATCAAGAAAGACAAAGCAAAGAACATCAAGTTCACACTCCAGACATAGCAAACAAGCAGATATAGAGAGAACAGGTGTCAACTGCTCCCCAACAAGCCTTATCAACGCCAGCATAACATTGGCAATGCCAAGAGATAAATTAAGAACAGGTCACAGTCTTGCTCAATGGCAGCAGTTAGACATTGAGCTGATTCCCTTAGAAGCGAGACTTCAATTAGTAGAAAGAGAGAAAGCCAGAAAACAGCTTTTCCAGCGCAAGAACCAAGCTGCAGTCATTATTCAGAGGGCCTGGAGAAAGCACCGCATCAAAAAGAGGGGTAGTATTATAAGGACTGTTCACCCGCCACGTATTCGCTGACTCAGCAATGCTAATGGACGTTCATACATTTTTTACAGCGTTTACAAAAAGTTAAAGGGTCAGTATACCAAAAGTGATATTTTCTTTTTAACAAATGCCAGGAGGTGGATTTGCCCCTGGGCTACTTTTTATTCCAATAGCACTTTGAGATATTTATTTTATATTCCATAGAATATAGCAGAAAGATAGTCTTCCTGCTCCAGCTAGAGAAATCAAACACAGTTTGGGTGTACTAAGCCTTAAAGGTAGCTGTTATGACACAAACTTGAAATCTGCGCGGCTGCTTTTCTTCTCTTTACACTGGGGCCATATAGTGATTATCAGGTCTACTTTATGTGTAACATGTCAGTCATAAAGGACAACTCCACTTTCAGTTACCAATAAAGGATCAGGGATCATGTGTGAAATATTTCAGATTGGCCTTTAGCAAGTTCAAGTGCATCCACTTCAAAGGTCTTTATCAGGTTCTGTATCTCCCCTGTACCACATGTAAAAACCCCATAAAGTTACAACATGTGGAGAGGAAGTTGTAGATGGCCACAGGTCCTGGTAGGACCTTCAAGCAGCACAACAGGAAAGTGAGTGGCATTTATACTTTAAAACCTCTGATCCTCAACTTTTGTACCTAAAATTGGAGTTTCCCTTTAAAGTGGTATTTCAACCTTAACTTGTTTTGGATCTAGCAGGGGAAAGGGTAAATCCCCCGTCAGGTTTTCCTTCTGTTTCCCAACTGGGGAGATTTACCTATACTTCCTGTGTGGTCACCAGGACAAGAAGTGAGCAAAATCCCTGTAACAGAGAAATGGCTTAAAATTGTTTAGTACAGTGGCTAAGGTCTGTCAGGTCTTTCATTCTTTTTGAGGCCCTGTTGGGGACTTTCTGCATATTTCCTGTGTGGTCACCAAGACGGGAAGTGATGGGAGATCTCCCCTACAGGGACACAGGCAGTAATAAAAACTTGACCACCCAAAACATAATGTGGAACTCCAGGCAAACAGCTAAATACATATTGTTAATGTTTTATCTGCCAAAGGAACCGCTATTGTGATGTACACAAACCTCTGCCTGTACGACTGTTGCTACTTCCTGGTTTGCATTACTCCTTCTTACCTCTTGAGTCAGCTCTGTTTATTGGACAGAGGTGATGATATTTATTCACTGTCTAGTCTAGAGCGACATAGGAAGGTGAAAGGTGACCTAGGAAGCTGCACTGTGGAACCAGGAAATAAGGGTGTCACCTGCCTCACAGTACAGTGTAGCAGATGTGCCTAAATCACATACCTGGCTTACCAGAATTGGGGTCTGTGTCAATGGGCTTATGACTGTTTCAGAACGTCTTACTTCCCCATATAAGTATATGAGGATTGTAAAATCAGCTGAAGCGGGTCAGTTGCATTATTCAGAATTCATTGACCGTTGCATTTGACCAGCAGTTGATGTCCTGCTTCAAGCAGATTTTGCATTCTTATAGGCTCCAGTCCCTTTTTGATTGTAGTGTTCTTAAGGTAAACCTGTCCCAGCAGTACACTTATTAAATTGACACCAGGAATTAAAAAGTAGATCCCTCTAAGGAACCTGCGCTTGTACGGAGGTCAAATCAAGAAAGTACAGGGAATGCTATTGTGCCAATGTCCCCGCTACCTGAGCTTTTCCTGTTGAATGGAAGCTACAATGTCTTAATGGCTTACATCCAGCACTGGCACCATAAACCCCTGTTCACTGCCCTCTGTGTTCCTGGTAAGGCTGGGCAAGATTAATAGAAGTGCACGGAAAATGTCCATGTGCATATACACTTTAAACTGAACTCCAGGCAAGCAGATTTATACACAGTGGAAACACATAAATAGGAACTGTTTTATTTGCCAAAGGATTTATGTTCTATATAGAAGGTTTTATGATCCATACCCCTTCCACCCAGATCATTGATCTCCAATGCAGCAGCTCAGCTTGGTCAACAACACTGAGTCAGAAAACACCCTTAGCTTGCCGATTGGACAGTATGGCAGCTGCACACGGGTGAGGTCATACCTCTATTAACATGTTTTGTCAGCACATATGTACTGCAGCAAAGCCCAATTTGGCTCTTTATGATGCCCACCCTCTCCTTGTCTGAGTGCTGCTGTGTGTGGGATTAACGGAGGAAGATATTAGGAGGTTCAGTACGCCCACTGGCCGAAGTTTAAATATAAGAATACAAAACTAATAAATGTTATTGCTGCATAAACAAAGGTTCACATACTATGCCTCTCTCTTACACTACGTGGCATGACAAAGTCCATCAACACTGATCCAGCAGACCTCCGAAGAGCTCTATTCGATCAGCATTGATGGGCTGCTATACCTGTTTTAATTCATGTAATTTCAAATAAGATTATCTCTATCACTTCATTCAAGGTAAAAAAAATAGGCGTACAGTATTCCCTTCTTAAGCCTGTACAATTTTTCATGGGCATTATGCAATTATTTAAGGAAAGCAAAGAAATGCTTCCATTTCTCTCAGTCGTGGCAGTTCAGTGAAGGATAACCCTTAGCTCATTACTTTCCATAAGTAAGGCAGCCAAGGGCTGTGCAAACCCTAGACTCTAATCATACTAAGATGTTCTTGTTATTAGGAAAGGTGCAGCCACACTCACAGACCTTAAAGGGTATGTATAGCAAAGACTTTTGTTTGGATGAAATGGGGAAAGGATTGTCAAATTGTTTTGTTGTTGTTGTTGTCTCACCCTGCTGAGTAGACATGAATCCTCTCTACTTCTCCTGGTGACTATTTTACACCAGAAAGCAATAGGAAACCCAAACATTTAGAGTTGTCAGAAAAATAAGAGGTGAGGGAAAATCATCCAGCACCTTTTATAATGAAAATTAAGTGGAGAATTCCACTCCCTTGGTAGAGATTTATATCTCCAGAACAGTTTGCTCTGCCCAACTGCGCAGAGCAAAAACTGAGTGGGGTTTAAACAATCCCTACTCTATCCAAAACTTAAAAAACTTTTGACTATACACTTTAACTACAGCAGCCCTTTTCCTAACAAACAAAATGTCTTAGCTTGGCTTATTTGCGACAAAGGCTTAAACTTTATATAGTTCTCAGCAGACTCTCCTATGGGAAGTAATGAGCTCAGAATTGAAACTGCCAGAACAAACTTCACAAAGCGGAAAAATCCAGCCAAGACATATTTATTTTGACGTTGATAGACCAGGGACATATTGGGCTGGATTTGCACCGTTGCTTTGTTTGCCTGCGCTTTTCATTAAAATAAATGGAAATGCATCGAAACACATCAATGTGCCTTAAAATGTGCACCAGCATGCACCTCAATGCATATTGATGCAAAATATGATGTGCAATGAAGAGTACAATGCAGCTTGTATTTTCAGATCTCTCCATTGATTTCAATGGAAACCACATCAGGAAAAATACAGCCTCTGTCAGGTTTATATTGCTGTGTGCCTATTGCAAAGATTTTTCCTCCGTTCCTGTTAGTCCTTCTATGGTTTTATTGCGGCCCATGCTTTCTTGCCCTGGTGGCGCCCACACCACCCATTTCTTATACGGACAGGAAGTGTGGGAAATTCTCTAGTATGGTCAAATATAATAACAATTTTGATTCTTCTCCACACTCTATCCAAGATGATAATAAAGATTTTGGGAGTTGGGCTTTATCACTTTGTCTTAAACAAGGGCCAGTTTTTATGGCATATACAGTAAAACCAAAAATCTCACGTTTTATATTTTAGATGTACATTGTATGCAAATTTCTATATTGTGTTTACATGTATATAGTATATTTATTGACGCAATGTGTTTTATATACCATCAATATTTTTCAAATGTGCCTTCAGAAGAATATGCCAAATAAAATAAAAACTTTTGATTTACATGTGTTACCAAGATAAGATCTTATTTGGAAAAATGTTGCATTATTGGGTTCCAAGGGTAGTGTAACGCAGCAATGGCAAGTAATCAGAAGTCAGCTTTGAGCAGCATAAGGTGAGCACACTAATGAAAGCCATCTTCCAACTGCTTACTGCACTATGCAATAAATACCAATTCCAATAAAAGCCCGCTATTAAAAAAAAAGTGTAAAAGGTGCCCACACACCTTACGATAATCACGGGAAATCACGCAATCGTACGATTATCGTAAGGTTTGGGGAAGCCGTGCGACCTCTACTACTGTAAGGTCGCACGACTTTTCTCTTACGAACATGTTCAAAAACCCGCCGAGCATCGTACGATGTTCGGCGGGTGTGTAGCATGTTCGTAAGATAAAAGCCGGACGGGCCGGTGTGCGCAAGCGCACACTGCCCATTCGGCATTGCGGTCATCGGAAGCCCGCCCCTCAGCGGGGCGGGCTTGCGATCATCGCAAGTACGATCTGCCTGTCCAAGATAGGCAGATCATACGTTTTTTTAATTATCTTACAACTATCGCAAGACTTTTGTGGTTGTAAGGCGTGTGCCCAGCATTAGAAATGCTGCCTGCACTGGATGTCTAGGGGGTCCAGTTACAACCTTCATGCTTCTGCAATAACCCAGGGGAAGAACACAGTTGGTCAAAGGCATGCACCCTTCTGAGTTCATAAGGGAGGATGTACTTGTAAGAAGGGTGGAGGAAAGGAGGGCATGTCAGTACACACAAAGCAAATTGGGTGGCTTCTCCGTGTCTATTGCAATCCTCATCAATGTCAGTTTTAAATAGGGATGCACAGATACTTATCGAGTACCAGTGCAGATACTTGGCATTTTCATGAGAACTACCAGGGTTGCAGTGGTTGCAGCTGGGACCTGGCTCTGGCACTCCACCACTGTCCTGAAATCATTAGTCTGTATTGTTTTAGAAAAACTGTCACATGACAATAAACAAAAATGTATCAGTACTCGTACTCGCAAAACTGGTATCTGTGCATCCCTTTATTTATATTTATAAAAACAAAATCGTACATTAAAACAGAAATGTACAAATCCCAGGAGCTCCGTGTGCTCCTTACAAATGACAGCTGCCTCCTAATTTTTGAATTTTTCTCTAGTGTAGTCTTGGAGCTCAAAAGTATCGGTACATGTACTTGTACTTGTACCGAGTAGTGTACTTGGTATCTGTGCAACCCTAGTTTTAAACATTGGACAAAGCTGCTACCTTACCATTCTGCCTTGATCTGACTCTGCTCCCAACCCCCTTGCTGCCTAGCCCTTCCAATGCCAATAACCCCCTTCTTGCCTGCTCCTCCCCATGCAGATATAACCCCCTTCCTGCCTGTAATCCCCTTGGTGTCTGCACCTTCCGTGCCAGGAACCTGTACTGATAACTTCCTTTCTGTCTGTCTGCTCCTTGCCATGCTTCCTGCCTGCACCTTCTAGTGGCAGCAACTCCCTTGCTGTCTGCACTTTCCCTTGCCTGTAACCCCTTGCTGACTATCACCTGCCATGCCTGTAATGGCCTTCCTGTGTCAGTAACCCCTTTTCTGTCCGCACCTTGCTGGGCCAGTAACCTTCTTGCTTGCCTGCACCTTCTCATGACAGCAACCCCCTTTGCTGTCTGCACCTTACCCGTGCAAGTAACCCCCTTAAGGTGCCCATACACTGCACGATTATCGTGCCATAATCACGGAAAATCCAGCGATCGTACGATAATCGTGCAATGTATGGAAGGCGTGCAACCGTTTCTACTGTACGGTCGCACGAGTCTGAGCCTTCTGGTGCCAGTAACACTCTTGCTGTCTGCATCTTCCCATCCAAGAGGGACGTAGGTCCCCTTTATCAAGGTGAATGACAATGTGACAGTCACTTTAATTAAGTGGACCTCCACATCTCTGAAACGTTAGATGTTTGATGTGGGACTTCAGTAAATCATCTGAATGTGACCTTTGAGTGCTGGCTTTCGTTACTTGTTGGAAGTTAAGAGAGAGGAGATATTCTAACCCTTACACACTATATTTAAAACAAAAATGTAATTTTATAAACCAGCACAAAGCAGTAAGATTCTGTGCCAAGTGCAGAGGCCCATGGCAGTCAGTTGGCTTTCACCCTTCAGCAGTTTGGAACAGTTGGAGTAAAGGTCCCCACACACCTTACGATAATCGTACGATAATCACGGGAAATCCCACGATCGTACGATTATCGTAAGGTGTGTGGAAGCCGTACGACCTCTACTACTGTAAGGTCGCACGACTTTAAACTTACGAACAAGTTTCAAAACCCGCCGAGCATCGTACGGTGTTCAGGCGCACACTGCCCGTTCGGCATTGCGGTCATCGGAAGCCCGCACCTCAGGGGGCGTGGCATGCGATCAAAAGTCTTGAGATGGTTGTAAGGTGTGTGCCCAGCCTAACAAAGATTGCTGATTGGTTACTGTGCACTTTAAAATCAGCCTTCACTATAATAAATAAGCCCTTATGTCTTTGCTCAGGTGCCAAATAACAGATAAAAAAGATCAACCGCATACAGAAAATCACTTGCTTCTCATTTGGCTGCAAAGACAAAACAGACCATTTTCCAGAAATAGACTCAGTGACTTAAGCACATGTTCATTTTTGTGTTTTATTGCAATACAAGTTGGGTACTGTACAGGATTGGGATACAAGTATGTTGTGAAGGGCCAGGGGTGTCAGTCCAGGAATCCGAGGTCTATGGTTTCTGGTAGCTGTGGGTGAATAATTCGTGTAGCTAGACGCTCAATGTCATCCAAGCTGAGTAATGACAGGCTGCGTTCATAGTCCTGAGGAGAAGCAAATAAAAGGGGATACAATAGTTAGTCACATTCGACTGCATTTGTTCTGTAATCTTCGAGATGTTTTGTAGCTTATCCAAGCCACTTCTTCAATTGTAACGAGTGTCAGGAAAATACCCCAGCATTTATATCCATACAAGTAGCACGGGCACCTTAACCCAATCAGCATGAAAAGACAGACTTTATTGTCCAATAACATAATTCCAAATAGATCCCTATCTAGATACATATTACATATACATGAAAGCAAAACACATAAAAGGCATTATACAAATTTGGCTCATATCCTTGACAAACCTACTACAATTGCTGCAGCCTGAGTAATGGAAGAATTCCCATACACACAAAAAAGGGGAACGATCATAAAATGACCTCCCATGTACATATGGTCACATCATCTTTTCTGCTTACTGAAAAAAAATGCAGTGGTTATTGTGAAATAGATTTTTACCTCTGCAGTGTGAATGATCTATTGAAAATGATTATATCATTTCAGAAAATGCTTTGCAGTTGCCTTTTTAGCATAACAGGATTCATCCCTTTTCAAAAAACCTACACAATCCCTATAAAATCTCTTAGCCCCCTAACATAATCTAACCTAATACCGCACCACCAACCTGGTGTATACTTACCTGACCATGGCAGCAGTGGACCCCCACAGCGTCTACAGTTTGGATGCAGAAATTGACATCCTCTTAAAAATGCTGGTTTGCTGGCTGTGCCTGGCATTTTTGAGTACCTGACCCAGAACAAACATGCAGCAAGTTGGGTTAAGTCAGAATTTCTTACTTGTTGGAGGACAATAACCGATGCCGCCAGATTGAAATTTCATAAGCAACTAACATTTTCAGAAGGAGAACCCAGCAATGGCTGCCTACATATTCCTACAATTTTCCTTTAAAAGCCCTGACTGCATCACCTTAGATTAGTTAATAAAGGTGAAGTTCCGTTTTACAGCATTCTAAAATAATAAAAGGAAAAAAATAAAAAATGTTCCCAATGTGATCTTTTCACAAAGAAGAGAAACCTAGAGTTACATTAGAAAACCAACTCATTCTTTCCATAACATGCTTGATAACTTTCCTCTATTTAGTAATAAGCAGAAGAGAATGTGCAAACAGAGGTCATTTCAAATTACCTCTCCTATAAGATGCATGACTTGTATAGACTTGTGAAAGTGAATCTTATGGCAATGACATATTGAACTTCATTGGAACCTAGTACGGTGTTTTTAAGCAGACCTCTCCCAAAAATCAGGTCTGCATAAGCTAAATGTTCCTCTGTCAGGAATGTAAGCAAAAATAAGGTTCTAAATAGGTTATGGGCCTCTGTCTTCTTTTATAACGTGTGATCTGCATTGGCTGTGGGTGAAAATGATCATCAGTGCTCTGCATCTTCACGCACATCACACCTCTAGCACCATGAGGCAGCTCCTGTCAATACTCGAGCAAGAGGGGCAGCACTGGGCATGACGGCATGAACGGAATCATCCCTTCCTCCCAAATGACAACACTACTGTACAGAAGCAGGAGGCTATGTCATCACAAAACTAGAACGACAACATGTGTGTGATGCACAGAGAAGGAAATGTGGAAAGAACGTCACTCATTAAAGGTGGAGTGCTTTCTACTTTACATACCCTGTAGCACCTATGTTTTCATACAGCCTCACCTTCTGCACGTATTCCAGAATTCTTTCTGCATCTGAGGGGCTGAAATGTCTCCCCAGAATGACAGCTAGCGATTTCCATACTGCGTTTCCTCCCGCCTCGGGGGATGCTCGTTCTTTCACCATCAGGTTCAGCCTTGAGTCAGGTCCAATGGAGTAGAAGGATAGACTATGTTCATCTGAATGGCAATCATAAAATGCTTGATTAGAACAATGCAAAAAAGAACAGTAGTGAAAAAGTTGCTCCTGGAAATCTGGAAAACAGTTGTCTACTAACAAAAGCAATAGTTTGTGAAGAGTTTCCAAACATTTGTCAATGGGATCCTTAAACACTGGTACATCCTCAAAAAGGTATGATCAGTGTTTGGTGGGAAATCGTCATATCCACTGTGGGAATGGCCCACTTCTTGATAAAGGTCTCCTTATATGGATACTAATCAGTACAATGTTTGGGAAGAGTGAAGAGTTTATCAGCAGTTTTCTAAATCTCTGTACAAAACACCTTCTACAGACTGCTGTTCTATTTTGAAGGTACCCATCGCATCAATAAGAACATATATGATATCTTTACACATTTATTATTTTATTTATTACAGGTATTTATATAGCGCCGACAATTTACGCAGCCCTTTACATGTACACATTCACATGAGTCTCTTCTCCTGCAACTTACAATCTAAGGTCCCTATCTCTCATGCATACATAGAGGGCCAACTTAGAGAGGAGCCAATTAACCTTCCAGCATGTCTTTAGAGTGTGGGAGGAAACCGGTGCACCCGGAGTAAGCCCACGTAAGCACAGGGAGAACATGCAAACTCCTTGCAGATAGTGACCTGGCCGGGATTCGAACCGGGGACCCCCAGTGCTGCAAGGCAGAAGCGCTAAGCACTGCGGCGCTGTGCTGCCCGTATTGGAGCTAAGGCAGCTGCTCGGGCAAAATCATCCAGCAAGGATTTCTGACACACTTTGGCAGACAGCCTCCATGCAGTGCTGGGTGCCTAAGTAACAAGTTGTCAAGCCTAATCAATGTAAAGTAAATGGCCAGGAGAGACATTAACCCTGTGTATGCCGTTACATCCTTGGAGCTTACAAAGGACTTTTCTCTCAAGCAGCCAGACAGGGTTCTGGGGATGCGAAGGTAAAATGAGTATAAGTGGTAGGTAGGTTTACCAACACTCATTGTCCTTGGGTCACTTGTTTAAATATAGCCGAAACTTTTTATTTTTGGTTTCGGAGAGAGTAGGGAAGAATGGTGCATTGCTTAAAAAAAAGGGTCAGGTCCAGTTTGAGATGCGCTGAGGCACGATAACAGCCCATTCAAAATTATTAGGCTGCATTAACCCCTTCGTGACTGACGACGTACAGTGTACGTCGCCAGCATCGGGGCTGACATGAGGCAACACACTGCAAAGGTGTGTAGCCGGCTGAAAAGTGCACTTACCCTTTAAAAGGACAACTTTAGTGAAGTTGTCATTTAATATATCCCCCAAATCCCTGTGTGCACCCCACCTAGGATAATATTTATCTTTCTACCTGTTCCAGTGAACTTTTTGCCGCCTCGGTCAAGGCCAGCTCCTTTTCATACCACACATGCGTGCCACAGCCCCATTCATTCCTTAAGGAAAGCTGTACTCCACGGGACAGATGGAGATTGCATATTCCAGCTTGCTCTTCAGAATGAATGGTCCAATGGTGCACGCTCACAGTATGAAGAGGAGCCGTCTGAAACTACTTCAGAGGAAAGATCATTGGAACGAGGAGGCAAGTCTTATCCCAGGTGGATCGCAGTCAGGGGGGTGGATGGATTTAGTAAAGGACACATTTTAAGAGGAACTAAACCCTGTTATATTTAACTCTGCTCCAGCAATGCAGGCTCCCTCACCAGCACCAACATCTTCCCATAGTCTTCTTATGGGTTCGGCATCTTCAGCCATGTTGATTAGCTGGCATGGGATGCCGTAACTTCCTCACATGCATGACAGAATTAATTCAGACTGGCACCCAGCAGATTGTGGTGGGATTGTACACTCATAAGATAGTGAACAGGCAGGCAAGAAGCCTTTATTGTAGAAGAAACATAGAGGTTCATATATAAATGTTCCGCCAGCCCTATAGCTGGGTGGATGCCGTTCACATGGCACTAGCGCCCCTAGATGGTGCTGATGAGTATGGGAATTTCCTGTGTGCCAGGCAGAACTTTGAGCCTTAGGCTGGGCACACACCTTACAACCATCGCAAGACTTTTGTCTTGCGATGGTTGTAAGGTACTTAAAAAAAAACACATATGATCTGCCCATCTTGGACAGGCAGATCGTACTTGCGATGATCGCAAGCCGCGCCCCCGAGGGGCGGGCTTCCGATCACCGCAATGCCGAACGGGCAGTGTGCGATTGCGCACACCGGCCCGTCCGGCTTTTATCGTACGAACATGCTACAGACCCGCCGAACATTGTACGATGCTCGGCGGGTTTTCGAACATGTTTGCAAGTTAAAAGTCCTGCGACCTTACAGTAGTAGAGGTCGCACGGCTTCCACACACCTTACGATAATCGTACGATCGCGGGATTTCCCGCGATTATCGTACAATTATCGTAAGGTGTGTGGGGACCTTTATAAAAGAATAAATATTGGACCTATTCCAGGATGTCTGAATCATTCCAACAGTTTCATTTAGCACACTTTAACAAGCTACACAATACCTGAGAGGGCTTTTCCTCTAAACAGCAGTCTCTGCTGTGACACCGGTACCTGTAACTTGTCTTCTACCAATCTTTTCACTGTGAGAATGGTGTCATTTTCAGAGACCTGTAAAAACAATAGAGAAACCATTAGATATAATCACAATATAAATCTAGAATACTCTATGCAGGTAGAGCATACTACCAGCCTTTTCAGTTCCTACCATTGCACAGACCTGGCAAAGTAAAGCCGGGTATACATGTTTCTATGCAACCTGACGAGCATTGATCGAGGAATCTCTTGCTGTTCCTTTGTATGCTGACAGCAGCCGGCGGCCGCTGTCAGATTACCCAAACAGAACTGGCAGTTCATTGGCTGTTAGCTCTGCTGACTATTCTCCAACATGCTCCTTTGATCAGCTTATCGAGGGATGCCAGACAGAAAGGTGCCAACAGCGGCACCCACGCATTGAATTTCATCCAGTACATCAAGAACCGGCCAAAATTTGAAGTGTGTATACCCGGCTTATCAGTACTGCTTGTTTCCATGCATGATACAATTCAAAAAGCAATAGGGTCAGTAAAGGAGAACACAGAAAAGAAACGCTGCTCCTCCGCAGAAAGGAATGAGCCGGGTGCTTGTCGCTCCAATATGAGCCCATACAAACAGAAGAAAATCTGACTGCACACCGAATTCCACTGGGATAGTTTATTGAAGGCTGTACTACATCACTGGTGTCCCGCCCAGGGTCTCCCCCTCTGATGCATTTCACCCAATCACGGACTTAGCCGTAAACATTAAAAAGGAGAACTATGGGGTCACTGTTTTTCCCCATAGTTCTCCTTAGGGTAACGGGAGGACACAAACTAGCGTCCTCCCGTTACCCTAAGCTCAGTATATCCCGAGCTACAGCTCGCTGTATACTGAGACGCCGGAGCGGATCCCGACGTAGATGACGGGATCCGCCCAGCTGCGTGACTGACAGCTGGCTCTGCCTATCTAGAGGCAGAGCCAGCTGTACCCGCCCCCTCCCCCGTCCGTTCCGCCAGTCAGCGCTGGCAGATCGGAGCGGGGAGAGGGGAATCCAGCCCTCCCCCTGTCACGGCAGAGAGCCGTGACAGGATCGAGAGGTGAGGGAACCCGGTATGTGTTCTCTCACCTCCCGATCTACTGAGCCGACCTGGGACAGTCTCATTGTCACAGGTCGGCTAGAACTATGAGGTGAGTGAAAAGCACTCACCTCATAGTTCTCCTTTAAGATGCATAAAGGTCTGGAACACGTTTACATTCCTAAAACTCTTCTTCCATTCCTCTGGCTCTTTTCAGTCCCGTCAATGTAAATTACACAGAACTGCTGCCGCAGACACACAATTTTCGACTTTGTTTTTACGCAGCTGTGCGCAGGGGAGCATGGCACACGCGATGCCGTGCGCAGGGGAGCATGGCACACGCGATGCCGTGCGCAGGGGAGCATGGCACACGCGATGCCGTGCGCAGGGGACCATGGCACACGCGATGCCGTGCGCAGGGGACCATGGCACACGCGATGCCGTGCGCAGTGGACCATGGCACACGCGATGCCGTGCGCAGGGGACCATGGCACACACGATGCCGTGCGCAGGGGACCATGGCACACGCGATGCCGTGCGCAGGGGACCATAGTATACAATATGCGGTACAGATCTGAACGCAGCGTTTCTTCCGCCTGTGTGCAAGGGCCCCATAAGAACTCCATGGACATAAATGAGAAACGTGAACAGCGCCAGTGATTAGAACAGTCCACACCTTATTATATTCACCAGGGCCTAAACCACACAGCAAAGCACCTGAGCAACAACCCAATCCAGCAACACCAGACCAAATATTTCTACATGGCGCTGTATATGCGAGATGGAGAGCGGTGACAGGTGCGCTTTGTGCGTTCCTGCTGATGCCTGTTGCACAGCTATATTTATAACTGAAATATAGTGGACATGGGGAGTCTCACCCCCGCCGCTGCAGTATACACAGCACAGGACCCCCTTTACCTGAATATTAGTCTCTTTGCCTTTTAGTGCTTTCACTGTGAGCTGCATCTCCGGGTCCAGCCGGATCACCATAGAGTCAGCGGAGCGGGCTAGAGCGGTTGTCAGCTCAGTACTGAAGTCCTCCAAAGATGGAAGCTCGGTCATGTGGAGCTACGTGCGCTTGTGGAGAAAAATATGGGAGGAGCGAGTGTACAGCTCCAGACGCTTGCTGTAGCTCCAGTCGCATATCAAGTATGTCACGGCCCCCGTTGTAGATGCGTTACCGATAATGACCACCAGAGGGCGCTGCTGGATTTCTATTACAGAATGATTTGTGAAGGAATTAAAGTGCACCTGTGCCCCCCAGCCCCCACATAACATAGGGTAGGGGTAGCCAACCTTGGCCCTCCAGCTGTGGTGGAACTACGAGTCCCATGAGGCAATGCAAGACTCTAACAGTCGAAGGCATTACTCCCAGAGGCATGATGGCATTTGTAGTTTCACCACAGCTTGGGTGCTGAGGTTACCTTCTCCTGATAAGAAGCCCAAATAAGAAGCCAAAAGCCATTGATTTCTATAGGCTTAGTGCACGCTCAGTAAGAATGGAACATGCTACATGTAACACATTGCTGAGCTTTACAACGCATCTAAGGCATGCACACTGGTGTGTGTTCTGCACCTACACAGAAATGCATTGTTAAAAACGCGTTACCGGTTCTTCCTTTTTTCAACTTCTAACTTTAACTTGAAACTTTAACTATTTTGACCATTGTGTCAGATCTTAGCAACCTGGGATGCTGTAGCTGTTCCGCTGCCGCCCTACTACTATTGGCCGCCCCCAATGACATGGTGCCTGAGACTAGGGTTGCCACCTGTCCAGGATTCACCCGGACAGTCCAGGTTTTGAATGCTATGTCCGGCTTTCATGGCAGCAGAAACTCGGACACAAGATGTCAGGCAGACAGGGGCAACCAAAATTAAGATAAAAGCTACTGGACCCCCACTAAAAATAGTCTCAAGTGTGATATTTACATATGATTGGGTGGGGCACTATTTACATGAATAAGCCATGACTCATTCTCTCACAAAAATGTCCGCATGTTGCTGGAATGTTCGGGTTTTGCTTGAAGAAAAGGTGGCAACCCTAACTGAGACAGCCACTCCAGGCTGCCTCATTATAGGGATGGCCCTGGCCTCATCTATGCCTTAGGACTAGGCATGCCACCCTTCCCAGGTTTAGAAGCAAAATACTACATTCTGTAATGATCCTGATAGCACCACACAGTGTCATGCGTTCTCATGGTGCAGGCAGCCCAAAGTATACTGCAACACACATGGGAGGAAAAAGAATAGACATTGGCTCCTGATGTGAGCAAAAATCCAAAAACATAAATGTAACTCAAGAAAACGCATGTCAACACACATCCCAGAACTTTAACAGAGCTGCACTTCAAAGACACACATATGACATTGACACATGTGACACTGACACAACATGACACACATGTGACACTGACACAAGATTACACACATATGACACTGACACAAGATTACACACATATGACACTGACACAAGATGACACACATGTGACACTGACACAAGATTACACCCATATGACACTGACACAAGATCACACACATGTGACACTGACACAAGATTACACCCATATGACACTGACACAAGATCACACACATGTGACACTGACACAAGATTACACCCATATGACACTGACACAAGACGACACACATATGACATTGACACAAGATGACACACATGTGACACTAACACAAGATCACACACATATAACACTGACACAAAATGGTACACATATGACATTGACACAAAATGGTACACATATGACATTGACACAAGATGGCACACATATTACATTGACACAAGATGACACACATGTGACATTGACACAAGATGACACACATATGACATTGACACAAGATGACACACATGTGACACTGACACAAGATCACACACATATAACACTGACACAAAATGGTACACATATGACATTGACACAAAATGGTACACATATGACATTGACACAAGATGGCACACATATTACATTGACACAAGATGACACACATGTGACATTGACACAAGATGACACACATGTGACATTGACACAAGATGGCACACATATGACATTGACACAAGATGGCACACATGTGACATTGACACAAGATGGCACACATATTACATTGACACAAGATGGCACACTTATGACACTGCAGAACATGTTATAGGTTCCTTCTGCTGATCTCTCCTTCTGAGCAAGCCTTTGTTCAGGCAGGGAGGAGGACAGAATGAAAACTCAAGCTGCTTACATATCGGCAAGCAAATCATAATGTAAATGGAAGGAAAATCATGTATGGCACACGGTACTTTTTTCCAGTGTTCTTGGTGCCCAGGATTGGTTAGGGTCTGCAAAGTATATCAGAGTGTGGTCCACATAAAGTGACATGCGTTCCCCCAAAGAAGCCCTTTGGAGGCCCTTGATGCAGGGGGAAGAGCGAATCAAAGCTGCCAGCGGTTCCATGGCTGGTGCAGGAGTATGCATCCTCGGCCCTTCAGCTATGGAGAAATCCCATCATGCCTCTGACTCTGGGAGTTATGCCTTTGGCTGTCAGAGTCTTGCAATGCCTGGAGCTGGAGTGCCAAAGTTGCCTACCCCTGGGCTAGGGCAAACAAATTGGGGGCCACGGGCAGCCCTGAGGGGTCCTAAATGTAAAGGAAACGGTTGCTCTGATCAGTGCCACTAGTGATGAGTAAGTATAGAGCCATTACCCAGTTAATAAAGTCTGGCCCAAACCCCATAGGTTGAAGCACTCACAATAAATAGGGTCATTTATCGATATCCAAGGCCTTATGTGGATTTAATGAAATGACTTCTCTGCCCTCAGTGTGTAGGTGAAGAAATTGTAGATTTGTAGCCTGCAGATGTCTCGTGCAATGCTCTGGGAGGAAACCAGCGTGGTCACTTCCTAACAGAAAACAAATGTACTTCTTCAGTCATATCGCCAGTATCTTCAGCATTCACAAAAGATATTGGGTAATACAAATTACATTGAGTCTGGTCCTTACCCGGTTTTAAAATTAAACTGTTAGCCCTTCCCAGATGGAGGTTTGAAGGTAGTTGAGGTCAAAGATGTACAAGGTGCACAAGAGGTGTTCGGAAAGTTGAGAACCAAACTGGCGAAACCATTCTGCTGGAAAACATCTAATGCCAGCTTCTTTTATTAACCAGGAATGGAGTTATCGCCAGCTCAATCTTCTCTCTAGAAAGTGGGGCTTTCAATTCTGCCCAATTCTGGGGCTGGGGGGGGGGGGGGGGTTTGGGA